TATTTATCTTACCACTCTTACCTGTCATGTCCCGCACTTTATGTCAGTTTTTAAATGTTAGTCTTGTATATTTCTTGTATATTTGTATATTGCAGAGAGTAAACGTAATTTCATTTCCCTTGTATGTCTTGTACATATGTAGAAAATGACAATAAAAGCTGACTTGACTTGACTTGACTTGACTTAAGCTTGACTGTTCCTGTTCTGATCTGTTCGCCTGACCTGTCTTCTGACTCCAGCTGGATTTCTGCCTGATACCAAACTGATTTCCCTTTGGTACCTCTTTGTATCTCCGATCTTCTGGTTGTGAATCCTGAGCACGTCCTTGACACCGGCTTTGACTTCACCCTCTGGATTTTCCTGCTTTTCTTCTGCTTTAATCTGATCTCCTGCCAGTTCTGTAGTCTTCAAAGCTTCAGCATCAGAACTCTCTGTGCCGCAGCAAGTGCAGATTGTCAGCCTACCGTCTGGAATCAACCACATTCTCTGGGCATGGACTGAGCTATAAAACCAGGTCAGCAACTCATGCGTTTATAACCATCCTCCATTAGATTATCATGGTCACTAACCTGTGTTTCTCTCCTGCAGAGGTTCCTGTCTTAGATGCCCTGGCTGCTGCTACGGCAGATCTGTTTTTATAATAAATGCTTTTTGAATAATTCTACTGTCTGTCTTGCCTTAAACACTGGGTCCTCCGTTCTGAGCCCGGACAATTTTTTTTATATCCCTTTCATTAGGAATGTTTCCTTTGTGTACTGGCATAGACTCCTGTTTGTACACTTTGGGCAACAACTCAATGCAGTAAAGCAACCTCCCGTCTTGATACTGTGTTGTTGCTCTCTGCACAAAAAACAACTTTGCTGCCTTGGTCCAAAATGGCACAAGTTGTAACCATTTTACATCCCTTTTTAGATTTTATCTGGACGGGCACAATTGGCAGCTTGCAATCTTGATCTCCAGCCCCTGTAAGACCACTTGACACCAGCATGCTCACACAAATCTCTAACTCCATCTCAGCTTCCTTTGAATCTTTTTCTCTGTTGAGTATGGTACGGTGTTTAAGGCTACACTTTGCACAGGAAATCCACTTTCAGAAATGCTTACCAATGCCTCCTATACATAAACAGCTGAAGCATATGCCTTTTTCCTTTAAGAAGTCAATCTCCTTCTCATGTGCCATTTTCCCCAACAGTGTACCAGTAGTCAGTGTGTGCCCTGCTCCACAGAAAATACATTGATACTCCCCAATTGTTCTGATTAGAGATTTGTTCTCCACTGGTCTGAGAGTAGTAGTAGTAGTGGAATATTCTAACTTATTTAACATTTACATTTTTCATATGTTAACAAAAACACTATGGTTAATTATACACATCAATATACTAACATTAAAAAAAATAAATACAAAAACCATGCTTTTTTTTAAACAAGTTTTTGTCTTATGGGGTATAGAGAAAATGTTGTCTCTGCAAGTCATCTATAAGCCTTTAGTGAAATCAGAGATAAAGAATTATTATTAATAAGTATTCCGTTTAATGTATATATTAGTACATGTAAATATGAATTTTGTTCAGAACAACTGTTGATAAAAGTAGGAAAGTAATGTCAATGAATAAGATGTTTGACCCAGAAGGAAATTCGTCCACTACACGTTTAATTTAGACAGCATGGATGTTTAAATATATGTGTCTATGTTTTAGCAAAGGCTGTAGCAAATTATAGCTAGTCTTTATTTAGAAAATATGGATGTTGCGATTGTTCATTTTCCTTTTGGAACTGTGTCTATCCACTTTTGGCCAACCCCCAGTGTACATTGGTTATTACCTGGCCACCCTTAATAAATTCTTCTGGCTAGGCCTCTGATTTCTGGACCCGAATGAAACATTATGAGATCTCTACAAATTTGAACAAACTCTTGTGAACTATATGGAGAAAGATCAGATGCAGGGGATGAGCTAGATGGGGGTGCAGGGGTGGCTAAGGCTACCCTTAGCCAATCATTGGCCACCCCTGTGGCCACCCCTATCATTTATTTCCCTCTAAAGGCTGATTTATACTTTGAAACCAGGTCCTCTACGTACAGTAGGTGTCACAGTGAACAAAAAGACGTCCCCGCCCCCTCCGCAGACACTCCGCTGCACCTCTCCCAAATTGTAGTTGACCGCAGACAGTGCCGCAGACAGGAGGCCGGCTTGGTTTGTTTTTATGACCGAAATTGTGGAAAACAACTCGTGAAGTTTGACCAGCTAGAAGAGCGAGGTGTGCGAGAACGCTGGGACCCTTTTTCCACCTGGATTCCCGATCTTTTTCGCCCTCATGTCCCTCTGTTGTCGGACTAAACTCAGCCCCACTTCCTCATCACCTCTATCATATCTAGACCCACAGTGTATAGCACACACCACGCTTCAACTTTGAGTATAAATCATAAATGTCTGCGTCAATTTTACTGCCACACACTGCTGCAGGAGTATAACCAGCCCTTAACACAGATGGTGGCAGCAGTAATTCTCTCAAGTGGAATATTAATTTTTTTTTACATTTTTCATATATTAACAATTACTTAACAACAAAAAACACTATGGTTAATTATGCCCATGAATATACAAATATAAAAGATGATAAGTGCAGAATTAAAGCAGAAATAGATTTTGTGTTTTATGGGGTAAGAGAAAATGATGTCTCTACAAGTCATCTAGGAGCCTTCCGGGAAATCATAGATAAAAAACTATTTTAATAAAAACATATTAAATAATCAATTTATGTAGATATTAGTACTTGTAAATATCAATTTAATGCAGAATGATTATTGATAAAGGTAGGTAAATAATGACAATGGAAAAGATCATCCAAGATTTGCCCAAAACTCAAACCTGAATGAGTTTTATCCACTATAACTTTTATCTAGAAAGCACAGAAGTTTGAATATATTCTGTGGGAAAGTATAGTTTGTCTTTATTTAGAAAATATGGATGTTTTGCTTGTTCATTTTCCTGTAGGAACAGTGTCGATAAACCATGGAGTGTTGGTGCCTATCTACTTTCGGCCACCCCTCAGTGTGCATTGGTTATTACCTGGCCAACCTTATTAAATTTTCTGGCTACGCCTCTGATCAAATTATATATCAAAATATGAATTAAACACAGAAATTAACTTATACACAGTTAATACAAATTTAAACACCACTAATTTTATAAGTACAGTTGGGATGTGGATAAAACATAGTCTTACCTTCCATTATTTCACACCTGGCATTCTGTAATGAAAAATAAAATTAAATAAACAAGACTCTAAGACAATATGTCCCGTCTGGTTTTAATTACTGTAAATAAGGATAACTTACTCTTTTAAAGGACGTCCCACGCGAAGCGACGCAACAAATGAAAAAAAGTACATGTAGCCACCTAGTCATCCTTTAACCTACAAAATCAGACTTCAAAGAAACCAACGAGTAAATAAATAGTAAATGAAGGTTTTTAGGAGTTGCTGTATCTTTAAGTGTTGCTGGGTTTGTGGAGCACAGCTGCGCTCAGAGCGAAAGATAATGAGCTGGGCTAAGCCCCGCCCACAATCTCACCCGTTGCTTTACAGATAGTCGAGTCTGTCGAGCTGAGGTAAGGGTAAAAATAGACATAACAGCTGCTGAAAAAGACCCAAAAATGTATGTTTTTGTGTGGTTTAGCAGGAACCTCCTCTGGTTTTTATTTCACATTGACTCAGTGTAGGTTCTGGCTTAATTTTCAGCGAGTTTTACCCCTTTAGATAGAGGAGTAGAAGCTGCTAACGACTAGCTGTTTCAGTTATTCTGAGCATATACACAACTCAGCATAAAAAAGCGAGTTTTAACTCTTTTAAAAGTTAATAAAAGCTGTGGTTTATAAGTAAATGAAATGTATTTGACTTATCGGTCATGTTAAATGCGGATGATAGCTGTTTTTGCAAACGTTTAAAAGTTAATGAATCTATTTCGATGTTTCTTTTTTTATTGATTTAGCTTTTATTGTGTAGCTTGCTTTCTGACATTGAGTAACCAGCTTTCACAATAAAGCACACCCCCTACCTTTGAACTAAAAGCTGTAAAGAAGCCCTTAGGCTGCGTTGCCATGTCTGAAAACATGACATGACTTATGGTAAAGTAGAATCCTGAGCAGTGTGCTTTAATTATTCATCATGTGTCACTATAAAAGTCCTTAGACTGTTATTATGACTTGAATTAATATTTCCAGGGGTATATGTATAGTTTGACAGGCTGCTCATACCTCATTCTGCTCTATTGTTGTGCAGAAATGTTTCAAAACTAGCAATTTTAACCATTTCCAGACAGTAATGCATAGACCAGGGTTATTTGTTTTCCAGGCCAAGGACCCCTAAACTGATGGCGAGATGGAACGGGGACCCCCAGATTTTATATATATATATATATATATATATATATATATATATATATATATATATATATATATATATATATATA